CTTGGGGGCCTCTTGGGCCCTCTTGGGGCGATCTTGGGGGCCTCTTGGGCCGTCTTGGGGCGTCGGGGAGCCGAAAAGGTGGAAGCTCCAAAATCTTTCAAAAACCTAAGGAAAAGCTATGAAATTTGCTTCTTGGGGCCCTTTTGGGAGTGCTCTTGGGGCGTCTGGGGGCCATCTTGGGCGTCTTGGAGCGATCATGTGGCATCTCGGAACCCTTGTGTACCATCCTGGGGGCCTCTTGGGGGCATCTGGACCCGTCTTGAGGGTTTCGGGGGCGTCTCGGAGCCCTGTTGGTGCGCTCCTGGAGCGCTCCTGGAGCGCTCTGGGGGAGTCTCCCGGGGATCGCTCGGGGGTCGGTCGGGGATCGCCCGGGGTACTTTTCGCCCGGGGACCCCCGGGGGCCGCCCCGCGCGCGCGAACTAGAGATACTGTTAACCAGTTACCCGAGACCTTAGCACGCCTCTGGCCCGCTGGGCCGGCGAATTTCCGCTCTTGGGCTTTGGCTGGTTAGGTTGTCGCATGACTATCTACGTGACCATGATTCATGATCGTGGCTTCCTTCTTCCTCTGGGTGTCACCTCTCCTGTCTTGCTTGCCAGTTTCTGTAGAGATGTGGCGGTGAGATCGCTCGAATGAGACCTTGGGGGCAAGTTGTGTTTGGGCGTGCCTAGGGCGGCGCTGTCGTCCAGAGCTGTTTCTCCGAGCGAGCGCGGCATGGTCAGATTGTTCGCTTGCAGCGCCATCTGGGCCCCCGGCCGCGCTCTGGCGCGCGGCTATCGGGCCAGCCCTAAGTGCATCCACTGCTGCGCGACCGACTCTCTGCACTACCGCCTTCGGGTCTGCCCCCGCGTGGCCGGTCAGAGAGTTTGCTTCGCTAAGGATTGCATCATCGGTTCCGCTGCGGGCGCCATGGCGGACGACTACTCAGACCTTTTATTCTGCGTTTGGGCTCTCGCCCATCCCGCCGAGCTCTTGCCCAGGCTGCGCCTCGAAGGCAATGCGGCGCCCCGTTGCGATTCGCTGGGGGGCCCGAAGGCCCTGAGACTCCCCGGGGCAGGCTCCGTCTGGGGCTCGCTGTTCCTCGATGGGTCTTGTCGCAGGCGCATCATTCGCGAGCTCAGCCGCGCCTCGTTCGCCATCACTGCGCACGATGACCAAGGGCTGCTCTTGGGGGAAGTCATGCGGCCAGGCCCTCAGACGGCGCAGGCTGGTGAATCGTTAGCTCGTTGGATGGCAGGTAATATGGACAAATATCCCTCCACTATGTAATCTGATTGTTTGTATGTGGTCAAGCATTCTAACCTCCCGACTGTTGATAGACTTTCGGGGAAGCGCGTGTACAGTGGTGTCGTCTTGGAGGCGAGCGCCCGCGAGGGCAATCGGATTTCTGTAGTTCTGAAAGTGGCCGCTCACAAAGACCTCGATGAGTCGGCGTCGACACGTTTGAAAGGTTTTGCCGCAAGTGCAATATCGATGCTGACGCTGCCGCCAAAATTGCTTTATCGTCGCATGTTTCTGGCGCCAATTGCCTTGCCGATGTCGATAAGCAGGTTGACATCGCCAAGGCAGTCTGCAAGCTCGCTTCAACAATCCTTCTGGAGTGGCCTAGGCTCGACCTGTCGGAGGTTGAGTGCCACCCGCCCGCCCGTCGCCTTCTCTGTCGTACGATATGCCTAGCCATGATTTGGTTTCTTGGTCTGGCTTGTGGCGCTGTATAGTGTCTGCTTGGCTGTGGGGCCATCGATGAACCGGATAACGGCCACTGCACAGGCGAGAGCAAATTGGATGAAGGCGCGTTGGTCCTGTTGCGCCACCGTGTGTTGGCGTTTTCTTGCAGCGATGGCTCTCGCTTGTTTGTTTGCATTAAGTGTCGGTGTCACAGCGCGGGCGCTAGGGTCCACGGTCTTGGGGAGATTTGCACTGAAGTACCATCCAGGCGCACCGAGGATTCATGGCGGGACCTCTGCCGAGGCATCCACCCGAACCCCAGGCGTCGTGATGTTTGTGTGAACGCGTACTCTATGTGCGAATGGTTTGGCACCCCCAAGGAGAAGCTCGTGGAGTCCACAGGTGATGGCGCAGAGAGGGCCCTTGCCGTAGTTTCTGGCGTGGGGGAGGTGGAGGTCCCAACTCCCTCGGTTGAGCCCCCCCCCCGTCCTCGGAGGTGGGGGGTGCTCGCGAGAGGCGCCAGGCTGCTCTGGCCCAGCGTCTGCTCGCCGCGGCCCAGGGCACGAGTGAGGCAAGGCCTCCCTGCAGTCGCCCTGCGTTGCGCCTTCTATTCTCTCTCTTGGTACTGAGCTCGCGTGGCAGGTTCGTTCTGGGGCTTTTGCTGCGCGCTGCGCGGCGGTGCTGGCCACGCTGCCAGCCCTGGAACTCGGGCTTTGGAGTTCCGTTGTGCAGGCCTCGCTGGCCGCCCTTCGCATTGTCTCGCGCTGCTCTCGCCCTGCGTCGCACGGCTGTGGGGCGATGCCTTGCGGTAGCTGTTTTTCGGGGGGGGGGCGCTGGACCACCAGCCAGTCTCGCTGCGTGTGCGGCGCCATCGGCAGGTTCGCTCCGGGGTCTTTGCTGCGCTCTGCGTGGCAGTGCTGGTCACGCAGCCAGACCTGGAACTCGGGCTTTGGAGTTCCGCCGCGCAGGCGCCGCTGGCTGTCCTGTTCACTGGCGCCCTCGCCCTCTGTTGCACGGCCGCGGGGCGATGTCTCCCCCGTGGTGACCGTTGCTCAGGGGGCCGCCAACCTTTCTCTCGGGTGGCGCGGCAGGCTTGGAGGATGCCTTGCCCTCTCCGTCCAGCGCTGGCCCACCAGCCAAGTCTCGCGGCGTGTCAGGCGCCCGCGGCAGGTTCGATCTGGGGTCAGCCGTGCCCTGCTCGGCGGTGCTGGTTACGCAGCCAGCCCTGGAACTCGGGCCTTGGGGTTCCGTCGTTCAGGCGCCGGTGGCCGTCCTTTTCACTGCCCAGTTGTGTTTTCGCCCCCTGTCGCACGGCCGCGGGGCGATGTTTCCCCTGCGGTGGCAGTTGCTCAGGGGGCCGCCAACCTTATTGTACAGGGCGCGCTGCAGGCGCGGGGGGGATTTGCCCTCCCCGACCGTATGCCCTGCAGCGGCGCTGGATTGTTTTTCTCTTGCTCTGGCCACGGGGCGGTCGCCCGTCGTGTGGCCAGTGCCTCCTAGCCCAGGGGGTTCCGCTGGAGGTACTCTTTCGGTCAGCGAGGTTTCCCTCACTCCAGCAGTGGTTTCCCAGCCACCACCGTTGAGCTTTTTCACCAAGGCTGCGCGGGCGTTGAGCTCAACCAAAAGGCCAAACTTGTAGCAGTCATTAAGGCGACAGCGCGCTTCCGGAATACACGGTGCAGAAGTCTTAAGCGAAATCACCGTCCAGGAGTGGCGTCCCGGGGCCCTCCGTGCCCCCGTGGTAACTTTTTGTGCCGCCTTTTACTTCCATTGAAACCCCCGATCGCAGCGTGTCCCAGGTTCCGTTCGGTTCGTTTCGGTTCTGGGGAAATAGGTTCGGTTCAGCACGGTTCCGTTTTCGGAGCTGTTCGAGGCGGTTCCCATTCAGAGGGCGGTTCAATTTCAGCCGGTTCAGTTTCGGTTCGGTTCTTGCAGATGACGTGCACGCGCGTGCGTCTACATGATCATATGGAGGCGTTTGGAGGCTCAGTTCAACCAGGAGTCAGGAGGAACCCTGGGGCCAGGGGGGCCACTGGGCCCAGCTGCCGACGAGCCAGGGGAGCCACTGTGCCCAGACGTTACGCATGGTGCCTTCGACGGACCAGTCGACAGCATCGTGCCCCCTGGACCAGGGGGCACTGGCGACATGGGGCGATTCCTCGGCGCCAGGATAGAAAACGCTTGGACTACAGTCTGGGACAGCACTGACCACTCACTCTTGGCATGGGCCAAAGGACAACTGGGAAGGCAAGGGCGCCGCCCGCGCCCTCACCGGGCCCGCGCAGGATGGTGGGGGCCCAGCCCCGGCCGCCGTCCCCAGTTCGGCCTTGGAGGCCCCGAGGACCCCCGGAAACCCAAAACGCAGTTTCGAACCCTCCAAAATGCGATCTGAGTTTTTCGTTGCTTTTCCGTCCCCAGCGCAGCCCTGGAGGCTCCGAAAACCATTTGGAGGCCCAAAACGCATCTTCGCACCGTTCAACAATGCGATTTGAGCTTTTCCGCCGCCCTGCCATCCCCAGATCGGCCCTGGACAAGCAGCAAAGCAGGACGAGGGAACTCGGGGGCGCACGGGGGGACTTGGGAGCGGGTGGGATGGACCTAGCGCAAGAGTGGGCGCTCGCATCGGGCAGTTCCCAAAGGTCCACCTCCACGACCGGTTCCTGGTTCGGTTCCCGGTTCGGGCCCGGTTCGGTTCCACCGCCTCTGGTTCGGTTTGGTTTCGTTTCGCGTCGGGTTTTTTACGGGTTCCGGTTCCGTCGGTCCTCCCTCGGTCGGTTCGGTTTTGTGGTTCGCGAATCGGTTTTGTGTTTTTTTCCTATCGTGAAGCGTTGTTATTGCATATTCAGGACATCGCATGTCCGGGGCCAGGCAGCGTGGGCGTCCGCCTCCACGCTGTGGCCGACGGACCCTTTTTTCGCGCCGTCGTCGTCGTCGACGCTCGTCGTCGTCTTCGTCGTCGTCGTCCCTGCTCGTTTTCGTCATCGTCGTCGTCGTCGCCCACCCTCCTCCCCGGCGAGCTTCTGCGCCCATGGACCACACAGGCATCCAAGGTGTACCCCAGGTTCCTGCCCAACCGCCGCGCCTTCTCAGGGCCGTCCTTGTGGACGTGCAATCAAACCCGCACAGTAAGTATGAACGGGTTTTCAAGGTTACCCTTGCGTCCGTCCCTTCAGGCCCATCCTCCGCCGCTTTCGCTGTCCGCGCCCCACTCGCAAAGTGGCCACATGGCTTTCCAAGGCCCCACATCCTTACCGCGCATCCTTCCTATACGGGTTGACTGTATGTCGGCGCTTCGCCTCGCCTCCCGTCGCCGACCGGCCCCATTCGGCGAGGCGCCCAAGCTTGCGCCGGCGCCCCGCCCTCAGCACGGTACGCTCGTGCCGCCGACCGCGGAGGACCGCTGCCGCCAGGCGGCCGCCGCTCGCTCAATCGATCATGTCGGGCGTCGCGTAATGGGGGGGCGATGATCAATGGGGGGGCAGCGGGGGTTGCAGAGAAGGGGCTCTTGAGGGCCTCAAAGAGGCTCTTGAGGGCCCGAAAAGGACCTGCAGGGACCGATAAGTGCACGTTCCCCCCCATAAAGCGACGCCCAGTCGTCGTGGTCGCCGTCCGGGCCGTCGTCGTCGTCGTCGCCGCCGCCGCCGCCGCCACCGCCGTCGTCGTTGTCGTCGTCGTTGTCGTCGTCGTCGTCGTCGTCATCGTCGTCGTTCCGTATGGGGAAGGACAGGGGAAGTGGGCGAGGATGCCAGAGAGGACGGGAGGCAGGGGGCAGGAGGGCGGGGAGGGAATGCGGGAATAAGAATAGGAGACGGGGGACGAGGAGGAGGAGGAGGAGGAGGACGCATAGGAGGACGCATAGGAGGAGGAGGAGGAGGAGGAGGAGGAGGAGGAGGAGGAGGAGGACGCATAGGAGGAGGAGGAGGAGGAGGGTGCAGGGTGCAGGCTACCAAGAGTACGCCAGCTGGACTGACATACCTCAGCACAAACAAGGACAGGGAAAAAACGGCCACACCAGGAAACGCGAGGGGCCCCAGGACCACACACGCCAGGGACCAGGGGGCCCAGACCAAAAACAGCCTACGGCGGGGGCTCGGGGTCCCCTCCTCGCTGACGTGGCTCGAGCCCACGGCTGATCCTGTCGATCGCCCTGAGCTGGTTCCTCCGAGTGCTGAGGTTGTCAGAGAGGCCTACACACTCACGCTTCAGCTTCCTGAGACTATTAACCTGCAACACTGAACAATGCCCTGCACAACGACGGCAGCAATACATCGAATTAACACGGAACACATCGTGCCCTAGAGCCCCACACTCCAGGATGAGGGGGTCCACATCCTCCCTAGAGGCCCCGTCGAGCACAGGTGGCTGGGAGGGGCCTCCTTCGGCCTCCTCGGGGGCTCCTTGGGGCTCTAAGGCGGCAGCGGCATCGAGGGCAGCGGCCACGCGCGCATCACTCACTGGCATCTCCCACACGTCGAGGGACGTCCTGAAGAACTCATTTGTGAGGGCCTGGGTGATCTTGCTGGGCACACACTTCCGACCCCCACCCACACGCAGATTGTCGAAGGATGCAGGCGTGCGGGCTGAGGCCCCGCACCTTCTACACTTGAAAACGCCCGTCTTGACGTTCTTGTACAATACATGATCATCCGCTTTTTGAAAGAGCACAGGCGCACGAATCTCAACTGGACGGGGCCCTGGAAACACATCTCGTCCGTACTTCTGAGACTCCACCACCCTCTGGATTCCCCAGGACACATACTGAAGAACCAGTCGGTGCTCTTTCAGGGCGGACGCCACGCTCTCAGTCGTCACCTTTGCGACAGCATGTTGAGCAGCGCCAACTCTTGCGAAAAAGTCCGCCCAGGCATTGCCGAGCCAATCTTGAATTTCCGTAGTACCAGCCCCGCTCGACACCACAGCTTCGATGTCTCGATGCGCAGGGGTCCACTGGAATGCTGGAGGCGGCAGCTTCTTGTCCCGCCTCTCAGCTGCAATAAAAATATCTCGCCACACACGTGCATGCTGCTTTCGGCCGTGCTGAAGTTCGTCCATCCAAGCATTCCCCTCCTCCACCAAAGAGAGTAAATCGCTCACGAAAACCTCGTGGTTTGGATGAACAACCAGCCCCATACGTATAGCATATCTTTCAGCACGACCGACTGTCTGGATTAGATACGGCAATGGGCCGAAAATCGCCCGCTTCGGCAAGAAAGTGTCGGGGTCCAACTGGCATAGGCCCCAGCCACACCTCCTGGTTTCTGGCACATTCGACCCGAACCCCGAACCGTCCGTGTACGACTTTGGCCCCCATTGCCCTTCGGTATCGCCCCAGTACAAAACTTCAGAACTCACAGAATCTCTCGGAGGTAGCCCGACAGGAAGCTCAGGGATCCCATAGACAGGGTATGTGTAGTCCCATTCGGGACGACCTGCCCCGACTCCAGAATTCACCAGGCGATCTCGCACTTCGACGAGCTGTTCAGGCAGGGCAGCAAATTCATCATCGGGGTCGCCCTCCAAGAGAGCAGGGCAGTCGTACAGAATGTGTCCCCAGCATTCGTTGATCTGGCGACCACAAGCTGCGCAGGGACGGAATCGGCCTCCAGCCTTCAAATCCAGCCTGGCAGGTATAGGGATACCGTCGGCCCAGTGTGCCTGAATCGCTCCAAGACGCTTCACGCATCGAATCCCTTTTATCGCATACCTGAGGGCCCTGTGCCAGACTGGAATAGCTACTCCGTCACCCACAGTATAAAGATGCCGCAAGAGGCGGCCGTGTTGCCACCTCTGCACTCCCTCGGTCAAGAAGTGCTTGAAATCTGCTGGGCTCAGCGTCCTGAGGTCGTAGACTCGGCCTAGGTCGTCCCTTACAACGTGGCTGGCGACAAGGTCCCAAGAGATCCTTCGAAGCGACAGCCATGTGGCCGCCATGGGGCCCCTGGCCTGGGCCCACGAAGCCTTCTGCGAGCCCCCGAACTTCTCGTTGAGCTTCTCCCAGGCCCTGTGGAGCCTGCTCGGTTGAACCCTGGAGTCCCAGATCCATTCCGAAAACTTAATCACAACCTGCAACGTCGCATGGTATATGGGGTCATACTGGTCGCTCTTGTGCGAGATCAAGTACGCCGTGAGCCCCGTGGAGGATCTGCCAGGAGCCCCATTGAGGACCGCCGCGAACAGCCTGAGCTCCTTCAAAGCCGAGTCGCTCACCCCTGCCACAGTGGCGCCGTGGCCAACTGACGGCAGGGCCCCAGTCCTCCACAACGATGTCACTCGCCTGCCTGTCGCCCTTCGCAGCATGGTGAAACGCTGGCGGCGATCTCTAAAACTGGTCAGGCGACGCTTCTCGATCCTACGCAAAACTCGAGGTCCTGACAACTCGTGGCCTAAGTTCCTCATGTGGGCCTTGAACGGGATCTTCATGGAGCCCATGTACTTACTGACGGTCTTCCAGAGACGTTTTTTCCCAGGGATCCCGCCTGACTTCGCAGCATTTAAAACCATACCCAGCCCCTTGGAATCGTGGACGAAGCCCTTGGCCGCAATGGCCAGATACTTGAGGTCCTCAGGGGCCTTCGAGATGGACTGGAGCCCGACATCATCCATGAGGGTGCGGGGCGTGACCGTGACCGAGACCTGGTTTGCTCTACTGACAGCCCTGTACGTGAGCAGGTAGAGGAGGAAAGTAGCATGCGTGCAACCCGCCAAAATTCCTTGGTAGGATACCTGCCCAACCGATACGCTACCAAACGCGCGAATCCTTCGCGGCTGCTGGTAACTGCACACGAGCATCCACAGCAATCGCATAGAGAACCTCAAGGCTCTCCCTTCTCGCAACAAAGCGTGCGGGTCTACCATCTCGTAGCACTTGGACATATCCAAAAGAATCGTGCATGTGTACTCCCCTAGCAACTCGGCAATCTCCTGCTGCAAATTGTGGTCGAATGCCGAATCGCTCGAAGTCTGCCCCGATTTCGTGCCCCACATCTCATGGCAGGCATATCGATCTTGCCATTCCCTCGAAATCGGTCGCCTGAGTTTCCCCCATACACGTATCAGTGTGTTACTCAGAACAATTAATCGGTGATCGCCATCGGGTTTCGGCAGTCGCACGAGTTCGCTGTATATTCGATCTGCTGGCCAGCACAACCACCGTTCACATAACATGAAAAGGTTGCCAATAGCTTGGAGCGCGCCGTCGGACAGGACGTCCAGACTCCTCGGCGCCAACCTCGTAGGGCCAGCAGCTGTCTTGGTCGAAAAGGACCTCACCACATTCCTTACATCAGTAAAAGAGATATGGGGAAGAGCGTCCCACTCACTGGAATCCGAGGGAAGATCAGGCGCTTGAAGCCGATGATGCGTCCATACCTTGGACCACTGCCGCAAAGTCTGGTCAGCAAGCTGGTATGGCTGCGACTCCTGACAATATTGGAGTACTTCAGCTTGTGCTCGGACTTTGGACATCGCATGGGCCCGACTGGCCCCTTCCAAGAAAGACTCACGAGCCCATTCTCTCCAAATCTTTTCCGTTCTAGAACGCTCCTGGTCTAAAACCTTGTCGGCCTGGGCGGAAATGGCATCAGTGATACTCTCAAAGTTTGGATCGACAATCATCACCAAACCTTTTTGCAGAAATTCACTGAACTCCTCACCCAAATCCTTGAGCACCCACTGCTCAGCAGATATCTTGTCACAATATCTCCCAGCCTCGTCGAACGCCTGCAGCACCTTGAAGTACTGCATCTCGGTTAACGTGCACACCGCACTGCATATTCGGAGCCGCTCACAGAAACGGTGCAGCTTATCCTTCTCCGACCGCAAGTGGGCCACCCAACGCTTTGCCGTGGCCCACGCAGCTACCCTGGAGTCTCGATATTCTCGCTTCCGAGGTGGAGTCCATGTCATTTGTTCCCATTTGAATCTCGGGGGTCCAGCTCGTCCAACGAATTCCTGGGCCTTACCATCGACTTTGTCAAATCTCCCAGCGATCTCGAAATCAACGCCATCAAGTACTGCATCCCACACACGCGGTAAGTCACTGGGCGCCTTCACCGACTCAAACATGCCTTTGATCCCGTCCCAGTTGTAAGGGTACCTCGCACATCCTACTGGTGGGATCGGGGGAAACTTCCTCGGTTCATCAGCAACTCGACACCACATGGGCCTGTCCGACCCATGGACCACCAGCTGCACGGGAAAATGTGGAGGTGGAATGGTGGCTTGGGCATTCATCACCACCGCCTGCCTGTCGAGTCTTGGAACCAAGTTGCTGGCGGCCAGAAAATAATCAATCTTGGACGAACCAGCGTCGGTAATGCACGTGGCCTCCGACGGAACAAACGCCAAGCCTGCAAGCTTCTCGACCCAACCTTTGACATTGACGGCATAGAAGTCGCAATTCCAATCTCCG